TGCTGAGTCCGAGGGTCCAAGGTGAAGAGCCACAGGCTTCCTTCTGAATGAGTAAAGAAAGTGGTTCCTCGAGACAACCTCCTCCCAGTGCAGATGCTGTGCGCACTGCCAAAGTGACAAGGGGGGATTTAGAACACTACACAAAGTTGTCGGTAAAGCTAATGGCAGGGCTTGAGAGCAGCGACTCAGACCTGAGTGAAGTCCTTCTGTGTGTAAAACGCTTTCCAAGAGCACCGTATGCTACAGAGGAATCGCTCATAAAAGGAAGAGCCAACAGGTCAATGAATCCAGCAAACTTCATTGCTGTCTTATTTTAAGAAACTGCCACAACTGCATGATCCTTTCATTAACAGTCAGCAGTTGCCAGTGTCAAGGTGAGATTCTCCTCCAGCAAAGGGGGTAAGACGGCCACCGTCTCCGATGCTTGCCTGAAGTTTTTAGCAATAAATATTTTCAATGCAAGTGCGTAAACTTGTTTGGACATGCGATTTCACACAGAAGAATAGATACAGTGTTTTTATATGCACTCAGAAATCAGAATAATCAGTGTGACCCATTTGATTGTGATATTCTCTTTATTGCAGCAGTCTGGAGCCGAGCCCACTGCATCACCTAGGTCCACCTGGAGCTGAGTGTAGAGCAACTGAGGTGGACTTTCTGGAGGAGGCAGTCTTCCCTGGACATTCACATTCACAGCTGCAGATGATGTGGGCTGAGCTACACAATAATTTGTGGCAAGTCACCTACATGGGACCAAGAGAAGTTTTTCAAGTGGAGGAGACTACTTATTTCCTCATTTTCACACACAGAGGGAAGAAAACATTAGCATGTCAGCAAGCATGGTTTCCAATTTCAAGCTAACAGGACTCAGTCGAGGGGCAGCACGGGACCCTTGGCTCCCCGTTGTCTGACCCGGCTACTCGGAACTCACTTTGGGACACTGCATGTGTGCTCGAAACGTTTCCTGCCTTTTCCAAGTCATCCCACACTGCTTCTGCTCCTCCTCAGAGCAGCCTCCTCATGCTCTCAGTCCTGGCCCTTCTCGTGCGGTTCTATCATGCGTCTGCTTCTCCCGCAGCCTCATCTCTTCCAAGGGCTCCTTAGCCTTGGCCTGAAAACATGTTCGAGCTCCTCTCCCCCTCCAAACCATCATGACCCTCAGTCTTGGTGCTCTCCCTCCCTCCTCACCTCCCGCCATTCCCATCCATCTCCTTGAAAGTACAGTTCTAACCAGAGCTTCTCAAACTTTAGAGCCTGCTGGCCATCTGAGGAACCCGTTAAAATACATTCATGGTCTGGGGTGGGACCCAGGCTCTGCTGTCCTGGAGGTCATTCTAAACACCAAAGTTCTGAATGCTGTTCTCCTCCTCTGTCCCTTGCTCCTGGCCCTCTTGTTGCCAGGATTCTCAGCCTTGACATCTAACGCTGCTCTCAGAACCTCCGTGGCTCCTGAATGGTAACTCCAGTGGACGCTCACAGCCGTGACAGCCCCGCCTGTGTGGAACCACGTGCCCCGGCTCTTGATGCAGTGGACTGGTGCAGTGTTAGGGTCCTGTTCCTTCCCGGCTTTCTGTGTGTCCACTCAGTGATTTCCAATCTTCTCTTGCAATCCTCTTTGCTTACCCGCTCCTTAGACATCTCCCATCCCAGCAAGTTTTTCACCAGGGCCTACTTCACTCCATGCTCTCTTTGAGAAATCACAGACACAATGACTTGTTCGCTCAGTTCTCCCTAGGAGTCCCCTCATCATGCCCCCTTTCAGCATCTGATGCACAGATAGCAAGCCCCGAACGTGGGCATGACCAGAGGAATGCAGCACAAAAAAGTGATCTTGCTGAAGAAGGAGCTACTTTTATGAAAAAGGCCAAATCAACTAGAAAAAAGGCTGCTGTGGAACTTTAAATCCTGAAATTGGCCAAATGTGGGCTTGGTATAAATCATTATCATACATTAACATAATAATAAGCATGTAAAGAAAAATGAACAATTGCCATTTGAAAATACATTTCATATTCGGTCATGCACTGGAGGATGTTTCTGTCCATCATGGACCAGTGCAGCTCTGTGTCCCTATGAGGTCATCCCATGCAGTGATGTCACGGGACCATAGGATCTCGGTTTGTGTAAGTACATCATGATGTCTCATAGTGACAGATTGTCCTCTGACACATCCCTCACACCATGGCTCTGCGACCAGGCAACACAGAAGACACTGGCATAGTTAAAATGGAAAGAGCTGTACAGGATTTCCTCCACTCAAATACATTCCAGGAAAGCTGTAAGGAAGTAGATTTCTGAGATGAGTGAAATTATACATTGGGACATTTTTCTAGAGGAGACGGGCTAAGTTTAATGTTTGAAACTAAGTGACAAGCTAGTGGTCAAACATGAGTACTGAATTTTGTACAGATGTAGAAGGTTTTTTTTTGTCTTCAGAGCAGTTTGATTCCATTCAGCAGACAACAAAGCTCTCCTGGAAGTGTGGGAATGAAAATGAGTAAGAAGCAGCCTCTCCCCACACAGCAGGGCCTGCAAACAGCGGGTGGGCAAAGGGTTGACAGCTGAGTCTGCACACGGGGCGAGAGTCCAGAGGGCAGATTCGAGGAGGGTCCGGGCAGCTGACGTCCGCTGCCCCTGAGAAGGTGGGGAGACAGCCTTGCGCCAGCAAAAAAGAACTGTGGTCCACACAGGGCTTCATAATAGAAGCACAGCTCCTCAGAGCCAACTCTCGGGAGTGGCCTATGTGTCCATCAACAGCGGAGTGGACAAAGAAAACGTGGTACAGGGTGGCCTCAGTTCACGCACTTGATTCTTTTATGCTCAGAATTCGGTTCCAAGCACAATCATGGAGTGAATTCTGGTACCTGAATTGTGGAAAGAATTAAGGTCATGAACTGAGGCACCACTGTGCTGCATACAATGCCACAAAGGAGGATAAATTTCAGGCATGTGTAGGAAAACGGATGCCCCCTGACATCATAATGTTAAGTGGAATGAATCAGACACACAAGCTTAAATGTTGCATGGCTTCTGTTACATGAGAAACCCGAAGTATAAATGAAGAGTAAAATAAAGGAAAGGTAATAGAGAGACAGAGATCTTCTGCAAATGGGAAGCGGGCAAGAGATGAGGGAATGAGGAGGGAGGGACGGACAGAATGAAGCTGCATGACATCTGCCAACTCCCTACAAAGAATGTAATCATTATGTACTGCAAATGTGTACTAATAAAAGTAGAAAGTAAAAGCAACTTGGGATGCATAAAAGTCTCGAGATGCAGTGGGTTGGGTGCCCTGGGGACTATAGTACTCTGTGTCATGTAGCCGTCACCTCAATTAAGATTTTTACCAAAACTCTGCAGGTGCAGTGGTTTGACACAACTTCGGCTTGTTTCTGATTGTGCACGTTACAGGGGTTCTGCTGACCGAGCCTGGCTCAGCCCGTCTCAGCTGAGAAGACGCAGGGCTCAGGACTTAGGGGCAAGTCTGGTGATCTCAGCCGGGGAGCCTGGCCCTGTCCAAGGCCTCTGAGAGCCCATCAGGCCAACCTGGCCTTCTTCTCATGGCAAAGGCGGGGCTTTCTGATGGATCTGAGCCCCGGGCTCAGAACGTGCACACAGTCACTCCAGCTGTGTCTGCTGGCTACGGCGAACTCCATGCCAGCCACAAAGTGGTGGGGCGTCGCCTCTGCCCCCACAGCACACACTGTGGAGTCCTGCTGTGAGGGGCTGGCACAGACAGGGAAGGACCAGCTCGCTTTTGCAAGCCTTCTTCATATTGGAGGGTGGGGTGGACCCGAGGGCACTCATCCTTATGCAGCCGTAAGGAAACGGTTAGAAGTCTGCTTTCAGAGAGAGTGAGCTCTCAGGGTTAAGGGGCAAGGAGGAGCCGAGGCAGGAGGAAGAGGATCTGTCTGTCCATCCAGGCAGAAACTAATGCGATGGCCGCAGAGCAGAATGAGGCTCAGAGCCCTGCTCCTCGCAGGGACTCATGCTGGCCACTGAGGCCCGGGGTGTGGAGCTGGCCTCTGTGCAGTCCCTTCCCTTCGCTCCTGCGCATCAGATTTGGGCTTCATGGTTTGTGCATGAGTAGGTGGGACAGATACTGGACATGCATCCTTTTGCTCCAGGTCCAGAGTTCCCAGGACGCATTGGCAGTCATCAAAGGACAATACAACACTTAAAAGCTGCAGGACTTCCAGTCATGCAGCAAGGATGTTGGAATCAGGACCTTTTTCGGGGTCTCAAATTCTAATGAGCTTTCTTATCTCATCCTAGAATGAAAGTTTATCAGAGACTGAGGGTTTAATTTTCTTGGTCTTTTTTCTTTTTCAATGATGCCATAATTTCACAGATCTCAAATTTAAATTTTGTAAAATCTATATTTAAATGAGGTGAAATTGCACAAATGTTATTTTGAATTTTATTTAAATCAAATAATGTTGTGATATGAAAAAATCCACATAGAAACCACATTAATTTTATTGACATAAAAATGTAAAGACAAGATTCTAATATATAACTATTTTATCCTGAAATAATTAAATGCAAAGGATATACATGTTAAATTACTACACACACGTAGGTACTATACAACACATGTAATGGAGTCAGCACACATTTCATACATTTTATTATAAATATTTGGAAACTATTTCATTTTTTCAACCCAGATAACAAAACTGAAAATATAATGTTTTATTCTTTTCCTATCATTTCATTTTATTTTTGTCCCATGGGTTGAGAAGTAATATTCCTTATCCAAAGAGTGGTAAGGAAGAAAAGAAAAGAAAGGAAAAGAAAAGAAAGAGATTTTATTGTTTGTATTTAACAATGTTATTGCACAATATAAAAATGAACTGTAGTATTTATGGTAACAATTTAAATTTGTCTTTTCTTTGTATAATATTAAACAGCAAACTTTTAAAAATGAAAGATTGAAAGAAGAAAGAAAAAGGATTTCTATTTTAGTACCTTTAATGAAAATTTTTCCTGCTTTTTGAATAAATGGTTCTGTACGTTCATTTAAAAGAAAGTTTAGGAGAGTAATAGAGAAAAAAATGAAGGAAGCAAGGAAGCAAAGAACAGAGAGCGGAAGGAAGGAAAATCTGTGACACAAAATAACAAAATACTCATTTTCTTTCACTTAACTGAAAGCAAAGAAGGACTAAAAATCTCTGGGGGAGGGAGTGACTTTTAATGGTGCTATCAAACAGCCACTAAAAATAGAAAACTGTAACATCTGCAAATATCACTTCTAAGGCAAAGAAAAGGATTGTATACACATATAAATATAAAAATACTTAATGGTAAATTTTAAAACTTTTCTCTTAAAAATGCAAAGAGCTTGATTCTCCCACATGGTGTAAAGCCTCTGAAGAATAATGAACTCATGAAGCCTGAAGTTTTGGTACTATTACCTTGAAGAAACCTTTTCCTTTTCTAAGAAAGGAGACCCGACATTTACTTCCATTTTCTCATTTTGCAATAGTTCACATTTTGATTTTGAAATGTTCACTCCTGTAACCGTGGACACTTGCATACAGAAAGCCCTTCTTCATGAGATGCTGTACAACTTAAAACCACCACAAAAAGCTGTGCCCCAAAATTCACTTCCAATAGATTATCCCATGGGAATATTGTCATTGGAAGAGTTATAGCAGCTGGTAGTTTGAATTTTCATAGTTAACCAATCTTGATTTTTGTGATTACCTTTTACGTATAATGCTGAGAGTTGTGCCAATTTTCTCCACGGATATTAATGTTAAAAAATAGAATCTAAAGAGATAGCCAGGAGGAGGAAAACACAAAGAGCAATGTATTTAACTGAGTGGTGCAGGAGACTTCGTTGAACACTTGTGTGTGTATGTATCAATCAAAGACAACATGGTGCTGCAGATTAAGCAGCTATTCAGTGGAGAGTGGATATCAGCATGCTATGTACAGTGGTATGCTATTTTCTGCAGGCTTCCAGATGTGTCTTGTATAGAAGCTGAAACAAGGTGAACCTGATAAGCATGTGTCATTCAGTTAATTGGCAAAAAAATTAAATTCGCATGGACTAACAAGATGAAGAACTGAAGATGTGAAATGCATTTAAGGTAATGAAGTCCCACATCCGTATCCACATACAAGGGACATGGTGAAATCATCCGCTCTGGTTCACTCGGTTTTGCTTTGACCTAACAGACTCCAAGTACTGCTTTCCTGTATATTAGCAAAGGAAATATTAAACATGTGTATAATATTTTAAGAACTTGATGATATATTTCACATTCTTTAAACTTTATTCAGGCTATAAATATATCTGCATATCAGTCAGTCAGTTTTTAAAGTAAATGGAAGTTGTAGCATGGGAGAGGAACTTAATCTTTCACGTGTTCTGTCTGACCATGGTCCTGTCCACCTCTTTCTGAAAACACCTCTGAAAAGGTCGCAGAGCTGTGGTGCGTGTCTGCTGTGTACTGCTCTTCCCCACACATTGCAATTTGTTATGGCTTACAGAATGGAATTTACGTTTAAAGATGGGTTAACTGAAATCAGCTCAGCAGTACGGTACTGGAACCAACATTTAACAACGCAGAAGATGCCATTCTTTTTGAACTTTTATCACAATTGTGCAAGAGTATATACTATCATCTGTCAGCAGGTTTGCATAGAGATGACACCACTCGTTCCCAAAGGGCGATGGCAGGCCTGCTTCCATTCTGCAGGCCTGTTCATCACCTGCCGTCAAGCTTTGCGGTGCGATCCGGCAGCGGTGCGAGGCACAGCCAGGCAGCTTCCCCACTTCCTAAGCCGCGACAGTGAGTGGCCCGGTGTGACCGGGAAGAGACTTCGTGAGCCCAGAGGCCCCAGGGCACAGCCCAGAACCTTCTCAGTGTCCTGCAGCTACCACTTGCCGCTGGAGAGAGTCAGTGTTGCTGGTGTAGAAGCTTTCAATCAATCTCTCAGCCGGAAGCTCCTCCTCCCGGCTGCTCTGACGCTGACTTCCGGCACGGTGCTTTCAGAAGTCCAAAGGCCGAATCATCATAGTGGTGGAGCGCAAGGAGTAGCTGGGGCCCTTGAAGTAGTGCCACTTGATACCGTTCAGCTTCCCGTGGTTCTGCCCTGCAGTGTAGAACATCCCGTTCAGATTGGAGGGGCCGCAGGCGTCAAACCACCAGCCTGAAAGACAGTTAGCAATAAGAGAGAGAAGAAACATTTCCAAGTCCGCTGGACATCTGGGACTCACTGGCATTAGCGGGTGGGGAATGTGCTCCTCCTTGTTATGATTACTTGCAAGCAGTGAGCACTTTCCCACTGGCCGGACGGTTCCAACGACCCTGGTGTGGCGTGAGTAGAGCAATGAAACAGACAGATCCCTCATGAAGCAGCTCTCGGTGCGGCTCTCCTGGGACCCACTTCCCACGGTGACTGTGGGAAGCCGCTGGCTTTAAGATACAATCTAAGTCAGGCTGGGTTAAATGAGAAGGAAAATGCAGATTCCCATGAGCAGCCTCCCACCTTCGGCTCACGACGGAGAGCAGAACTGCGAGCGAAGTTCAGAAGCTTAGACAACTGACATCTACAAAGAAAGACATTCTCCATTCACTTGGTGAATTTGTCAAGTACTGGCCCCCAAGCTGCTTCTAAGTTAATTAGAGAATTGTGATGACTGTGACACTCCAGTTGAATTTTAATTAATCGGCCCTGTCTAAAGCTTATAGCCATATGGGAAGCGTCTACCCATGCAGCCATGAAGGACACAGACAGCAATATTTTGTCTTTGCTCATTCAGACTCTTTCCAAACTTAGTGAAAAGAAAAACAAGTTGAAAAGGAAATGGAAATCCTGTGCTTGTATAACTCCATAAGGATAACTGGATTACCCAGTTTTCTTTTCTTCTTCTTTTTTCTTTAACAAATTAAGGTCTTAGATTTTTAGATAAAGCACAGTACTTTTCTCCCTCTCCTGAAGTAACACCACTGAAATCTTCAGGGAGAGACTTCTGCCAGAGACATTTGGAATATTTGCACTTCGATACAGCTGACCTCTCTTTGATTACAGAGCCGTACCGCGGGGACTAAGAGCTAAGGAGCGAGCTGTGCGGCGGATGTTTGACTGTAACATGAGCATTATCTTGCAGCCTTCAGAAAAACTGAAACGAACGAAAGCTGATGCGCATTTTTCAGCCTGGGGAGAGGAATGCGCTGCCTGTGTTCGCAGTGGCACCGGAGGCACCAGCAGCAGCTTCACGCGGGTCGGGGAGGCGGCCGGGGCCTCACTGCACAGAATGCTGCGCAGCGGAAACGCTAGTGCGGTCAGAACAGCAGGGACAAGAGGGTCTTGTTAGCCCAGGAAGGAGGAACTGTAAAATGCATCTTTCCTTCCTTAAGAGTAATTCCTCGACTTTCAGTCAGTGCTCCTAGCAAAGTGCGCTATTTCCCCTGCAAAAGGCACTCTGGGAGTCTGTCCTTCCCCAGAAGATGCTCTCTGAAGGTCTAGCATGATACTCTACAATGAACTGAGCCTGGACCACGTCTGGGTTCTAACTCCTCTCTTCTCTGTCCCGAGGGCACCTCCGGTGCAGGGTGCAGGAAGGCCTCTTTCACAGGCACGAGCCCTGCCCTGGTTACACAGGGGACACCCTCCGTCTGGGCTCACAGGGAGGCCAGCGTGAACCTGGGTCTTGGACCCACACCAGTTGTTCAGGACCAAGATGAAAACACCAACAGCAGCCCCGCGATACTGGCTGCAGGTGGGCGGTGGGGACGGGCCTGGGAAAGCAACAGGAGCCGCGGAGCGCAGGGGAAGGCCAGCGACTGACCTGTGTTGCTTCCTAGTAAGGATGGGGGAAATGTCTGTCGCATGGACATCCTTTCAGAGACCCTGACAGAAGGCCACTAGGGCTGGTCAGTGTCCATAAGACAGTCACCCACGGCTGAGTGTGTGCAAATACCACCCGGCCTAGCCTTTTGTGTACTGCCCTCAATCCAGTGGAAAGACCATTCTGTGGGAGCCTCTCTTGCAGACTTAACTCTACTCCCGACTGAGTTTGCATGGCAGGTCACCAGCCGGTGACTGCAGACTCGGGCTGGGGTCTGCTCTCTCACTGGCACGGTTCTGTGAAGCTGTTTAGCTTATCAAGAGCTGCGTTTAATAGACACCTGGCTTAGAACATCAGCGCCTACTGTGTTCATTCTCCTTCAGGTGTGCATTTAAAAGCTGTTACACGATGCTCAGAACGACACATGTGTTCCCTGCCCTCATAGAAATGGCTTCCAACGTGAGAGACAGATGAGAAATGTATGCAAGTAAACAAAACAGCTACAAATCATGGCCAAAGAATGCTAGGAAGAACACAGGGAGCTCTGAGGGCGAAGCACACCAGTTTCTGTGCACGTGGGAGAGGTCGATGCTCTCGGTGACCTGAGGAGATGGGGGCCGGCCAGGGCAGAGGTGGACGCTCTGCTCAGCCAGGTGGGAGACAAGCTGCGTGTGTGGAGACGGAGAGGAGAGGACAGGAGACTTGCAGCACGGGGAGGTAGAGGAACCGTCTGGAAGAAAAGTTGCACACATTTGTGGAAGAATGCATGGCCTAGCTGTGCTCCATGTCCACCATCAGGCGCACGAGTGCAACCTTCTCCAGGAACGGGAAGCAACACTGAGCCAGGGAAGCCAGATCAGCTGGGCTAGCTGCCCAGCCAGTCATCACGGGGCCCTCATTCTCACGGTCTGCAAAGCCATCCTGAGTATAAGAGCCCATGATGAAGGAGAGAAAACCGAGCCTGCAATCAGTGCAGCACCTGCTACTCCACGGACAGACTTAGGGCACAGGGTTGAGTGAAGCAAAATTCCTAATGTCGAGTGGTGCACATGATAACCATTAAACAGAGCACTCAGGATAACACCATGGCAATAAACAGGCAGAAGGCCCTAACTTCCTGAGAGGTGCAGGATTCCTTGTCACCTAAGCTGGGTCCTGAGGATGGGTGCAAGTTTTTTTTTTTTTTTTTTTTTTTGGTTTTTCTCCGGTACCGGGAACTGAACTCACGACCTTGCGTTTGCCAGGCAGGCGCTTTTGCCGCTTGAGCTAAATCCCCAGCCCCGATGGGTGCAAGTTTAAACAGGAAGTTTTCTAACTCAGTACAGACCCTCGGAGAGCAGATGAAAAGGTCTGCCGTAGGGAAAGGTGATGAAGAACAAGCAGGGGGGAGAATACAGAACTTCTCACGATACTTTCAGAAATCTTCTGTGAGTAATGGGGATCTTGGAGGGAATTCTACTAAGAGTTACTAGTGCTGACTTCATCAGTTAACAACCAAGAGATCCTAGGCAGTAATACCAGTAGTGTTCGATATTTATTGATAGTCAGTATGTACCAGGGACTGTGTGCAAATACTATATCCATCTATCCACTTACCTATCCATCCATCTGTACACCCATCTATCCACCCACCCATCCACCCACCCCTCCATCTACCTACCTATCTCTTCTCTTATTTTGTCCCTCAATAACTACATGATATGGCAAGTACCATAATAAGGACATCATTGCTCAGAGCTGAAGAAACTTTCCCAAGGTTACATTCATGACACATAGGTCACAGGATCTGATCAACTATTTTGAGACCTTAAAATGGCAATTTCAAGGATAAAACAAGATGATACACTAACCACTGTCACCTATAAAATGGTGTAATTTAGGATATGGGGTCAAAAATTTTAGGGTAAAAAGAAATAGAACTAGCTCTTTCTTCCCACTGGAATGATTTAATGATGAAGACAAGGTTTCTGAAGCTAACAGTTTCTTAACCACTCAGTCAAGTCTATCAGAGAAATATGAAAGTAATGCAAATGGGAATAGCTTGCAATGATCACATTGTAAAAACACTGCATTTAAGAACCCAATATGGTTTTTTAGTGTACTATTGTGATTATATGAGGACTCAAAATGTTCAGCTATTTATTTATCTTAACACCACTGGGCCATGCACACTGTGATCAAATGAACTGAAGATGATAGCAGAATTAAGATGGTGGAGAACAGAATAAAAGGGCGACATGTCTCACACCAGCCTCAGTTCCATTATGTTATATTCAAATCTTCAGAGTAGCACAGGCAGCAGGTGAGTATTCTGTCTTTACTAAGATTTGCATTAAGACAAACTAAATAAAGGAGTTTCTTTCTATCAACTATTTCAAATGGTTGTTCTATTTTCTGTGAAGAGAACTGAGCATAAACTGGGCTTTTAAGCCCAAGCCCTGGTGTGGCCTGATGTGAACATCTTCCTACGGGCGAGCACAGTCCAGCAGGCCATGGCTGCCTGTGTCCCGCTGGGCCTCAGGAGACCGGGTGACGAGAGGAGACCCTGCTCACAGGCGGACAGGCCAGGGCTGTCTGTGAAGGGACCTCGCGGCCACATCACACATGCTCGGACCCTGGGGGTGTCAGCTCTGCACTTCTGTGTGTGCCTGGGGTGACAAAGAAGAAATGTGTGAAAGCCGACTGGGGCGGGGGGCAGGAGCGTTAAACCTCGGAGCGCTCAGTGGTGAAGGGAAGGCAACTGATAAAATGTCTCCAGTGCCGAGCAGTTGGCAACTGTGGAGTCCGACTTTGCCAGGCATTCTTCCTTATAACCTGTAACCTCGTGTATGTTTTAGTAAGAAATCTGAGATGCGTGTTTCTAATTCATTTACACTTAACTCATTAAAATTTAGTTTTGTAATAACTATCCCAGGCTTCCCAGACCTTTAAATTATTTGAGTCTTTTATCTTTAAAGCAGAAAAGTCACATTCTATCACTAATAAGCTAAACTCTGCCCAGAAAATAGGAATCTGATTCTAAAGCCTGTGCTCAGGAAGTTCAAATTTATTTGAAAGTAAGGAAACTTAACTCTCAAAACAGTCCTCTGATCCTAAACAAAATATCTCTCAACACTTCTTTTCTAAGGTAAAAAGTACAGCAAAAGGAAAAGAAATATCTTCTGGTGGCTTTCTTTCATGCATTTTCAGTGATGCATTCCAACCAGAAATACAAAAAGCTCACTCGGAACCCAAGATTTCAGCCTTCTACCCCGACTGGACACGAGGCTGGGCTGGACTGCTCAGTGACGCTGTTACCACAGAGATCACAGGGACAAAGGTCACTTGGTGAGCGACAGGCACAGAGGTGCCCTGGGCAGCCCTCGCTCCGGAGCGGCTCTGGGGATCTCTTCTAAGTTTTGTTTTCATTAGTACTATCTGCCGTCCTCCAGGGGAGCTGGTGCATGAAGACATCTTCATCTCTCTATGTCCCGTCATCCTCTCCTCTTGCTCTCTTCCACCATCTCTTGGTCCCTTTCCCACTTGAAAACTCATCACAGCAAAATCCTGAAGGAGGCCCAGGTGTCCACCAACAGGGAAATGGGTAAAGAAAATGTGGTAATTATACACCATGGAGTACTACTCTGCCATAAAGAAGGATAAGCTTGAGTCATTGAAGGAAAATGGATGCACCTTGAGACCATAAGAAAGTGAAAAAAATCAGACACATGAGCTTAAATACTGTGTGGTTTCCATACAAGAAACCCAGAGTTTAAATAAATTACAGAGCAGCTGCAGGGTCCTTGTACACGGGGCAGAGATGCTGTTTGGAATTCTGCATTCCTCCTGCCATGTGGTGCTACAGACATTTCAAGCCAGGTCTGGGATTTTTTCCCTCCTCTTTTCTCTGTTCCAAAGATGAACAGTTGTTTTCCCTGGCTAGGGATGTGGAGTCCATCTGAAATGCCTGGGCTCCTCATAGTCTCCCCTCTCCCACGGACTTCACTTTCCTTTCAGCCCTGTCTGGGGAGGGTTCGCTGGTGGACTCCCACTGCAGACAGCGTGGAGCGGAGCTTCTCCGGACACCGCCCCAGGCACCTGCGTCCAAATCCTGCCTCTGACACCAGTTCTGTGAACGAGTGAACTCTTCCGGGTTTTAGTTCATGAAAAGGGAATTACTGCATTCTTCTTCCCCCTCATTAAAAATCTTTTGGAAACTTCATGTGAGTTATCAAGCATAAATCACTCATGATAATGCAAAAATGTCCGATGGACTAAAATGTTCAATAAATATCTGCTGTACAATTACTAGAGAACAAAATGACACTTGCAGCCGTTTCTCCCCCACTGCCAGCTGTTCACCCTCAGGTGTAGCTCCGTGCTGTAAGCACGTCACTTCCAGGGCAACTCCTTCCAAATGTGTGAAACACGTTCTTGGATATTTGCTGCTATTGTTCTAGGAAATAAATTATGCTTTGAGAAAACAATGTAATCCTAAACTCTGCACTTATAAACTCAAATTTCTTCAGGAGCCTAACATGCCAGTTCTAACCACTTGGGGGTCGAGTCTTGCGAGGTCCAGAGAGCCTTAAAGCTGGTCCCAATTCTTGCTATTCACCCAGTAACTCCAAGCTGTCCACGCAGCGTGCCTCTGCCCCGCACGTTCTCAGCCTAAGTTCACGCAGGGGCTTTCGTCTCCGGTCTGCAAGATTAGCAAGCGGGCGGGGCACGCAGCTCTCAGCAGCCCCCCACAGAGGATGGCGGGCTGGCTTGGGCCCTTCCTCACCTGTGCAGAGGGACGGCCCCTGTGCCTTCAGAGCCTCCTGCTGTCAGCTGGGGCAGTTTACACGAGGGAAAAGAAATGAGCTTCTAGGAAATAGGTCTTCCTGCGGAAGGTTGGGTCGCACTTTACAGAGCTTTGATATTTTACCCTAGGTGTGGAAACTGCTGGAAGGAAATGAGAGGAGGAGAGGGCTGCGGAGCACCATCGTGTCTGCTATTGTAAGCGAACTCCTATATCTCTCAGTAGGTTTTTAGACACGATTCTTTCTGTAATTATTTCATAGTTAGGTAGTGGGATTGTAATCACTGTTGCTTCCTAATGTAGCTTAAACAGACTTTTAAAATACTTATTTTACAGAATCTTAATGTACTGTGAAGACCATGTTTTAGTAGACTATAAGTGAATGAGACAATATAACAATAAGTTTTAAATTTCCTAATTTTCTCATATCCACTTTATATACAATAAATTTATACAAACTAAAGCAGAGTGGACACCAGACAAAATGCCATTTCACTCTCTGCTGCCAAGCGGTAGATCAGACTGTTAAGCCCGTTTGAGCGAAGCCGACTGCTTCAGGAGGGTGCGGCAGGCGCGCTCTGAGGGGCTGAGGCGGGGTTTCCTGCATCAGTCACCCTCACGCGCACACACGGGGTGGCAGAGTGACCGTCTGTGCTGACAAACGCCTCTGGCCAGCGGAGACTTCCGCAGAGGACGTGGGCAGCATTTCCCACCCGAGACGTGCGCTCCGGCGCACCGCGCACAGAAGCACAGAGGTCCCAGCCTTTCCCTGGCCGGGAGAGCTTCAGCTCTCTGTGAGGCAGGAGCGAGCCCACGCCAGGAGAGAGTGAACCCGAGCTATCTGGGTACATGACGAGGACTTGAGGCGTCCCGCCCCGCTCCGGCTGTCAGCAATAGAATTGACACCTATGGCTGCAAAGCGACACCCCTTCTCGTTTCCCACTAGCGGCCTCCAGGAGCGCACGGATGTCAGAACCACAGAGCCGGAAGAAAATCTGGGAGCCTGGCTTCACCCCACCCACAACCACAGGACGCGCAGGAGGAAGCTCTGGGTGAACGGCGTGCTCTCCCTTCCCGCAGGGGTCCCTCTGGAGAGGCCCGTCCCCCCGGCCAGGCCACCACAGCTCCCGACCCATCTCTTGCCTTCCCCCGGCCAGGCCAGGACTTGCCCTGGGTCTGAGTGGTGCCATTTATTGCTCACGTTTGGACACAATCTCTCCCAGGAGTCAAATCTCTAATCTGTCCCGCTTATTTCTCAGTGGAGTTGGCCTCCTTAGTAGGCGCTCATTAAAATGCCTTGCACTGGCAGAAGGAAGGAGCGGAAATCAAATGCTCCACCTCAGGTCTGCTTGGAACACCATCTGCTTTCAATTAAGCCGCTCAGTCTCCTGTTTTCCATCTCTCATAGATAAGGGTAACAATACCGCATCCTCCAACCAAAGTCCCTCCGTGTACTGGAAGAAGTATTCACAGCAGGGAGTACAAGATAAATCTAACTTTACCCTCAATTCCTATTATAAGAAACAAAGGAGAAACAAATAAATGAGAAAGACCGAAACTTTAACTGATGATGACAAAGCGCTATGGCTCGTTAGTCTCTGGCTCTAGGGACTATTTCAATAAGCTGGACTCAGTACCCAGAAGGAAAGAACCATCATCAGACAATGGGGGGTTCTGAGGGAACCTGATGGGGCCTAACGTTGGGGGGCTGCTGACCAGAACCCAAGTCCCCGGCACAGGGCCAGGTTCCTGGACGTCACCGGTGCTCACCCTTTTGGTTTTCAGTTCTGGGCTGTCTCAATACCACATTTTAGCTTTTCAGAGTGAGTGGATGGCTTTGGAAGACCTGGATTCTTTCAAAGGGTTATTTGATAGGGTAGTGGCACTCACTACAAAAACACACTTACTTAGACTACTGCAGCCCAAGCAAGAAGTGGAAATTTTCTCTCCCCAAAATATGTGTTTATTGGGGATAAGGGATTGTGTCCAGGAACGGTTATGATGACAGAACTAACAGAGCTCAATCACATGAGGCAGAAATAAAACCCTAACTCCTCAGATGAGGTCTCTTCACAACCAAGAGGGTCAGCCTCTGCCTGGGCCCCTGTCTCCGTCACTGGGACAGAAGCGAGAACACCCCAGAGCGCGCTGTCACCCCCAAAGATGGTACCACAGGCCTTTCCAGGACTGCATCCAAACAGTGAGAAAAACTACCCATAAAACAGATCTGCCTAAAGGGAAATGTACTTCATATCAAAACGGGCAGGAAACTGGAATACTCATCTTGTCTTCATATAAAGCTACTGACAGTTTCATTGATGGGATCAAGTAGGTAATGAAAAGAAATACGTTTTTTAGGAACCTGTAGGGACCATATTGTTAAGCAATCCCAGCTTGGTGGTAGCCGTCTGTTTACTTGTGGGGGAGGGAAGATTACATGGTGAAGTACAGGGGAATGTTTAAATACTTGCTGAGGTCGGGTGGATGGCAAATGCTACGCTCAAGCTTTGGCAGCAGGGTACGGCAGAGGCAAGGTCAGCGGTGCCGGGCTTCCCAACGCGGAGGCTGGGCTCTCGGGAAAACACATCTGCACAGCTCAGGTAGGGCCTTCACAGAGGAGGTCCGGGGGCGGGACCTGACTCCAAAGTTGTCCCTCCAAACTCAGGGCTTATGGAGGCTGAGGCAGGATGATTGCAATTTCGAGTCCTGCTTTGGCATTTTAGGGAGACCCTATCCCCAAATAAAAAATTTAAATTAAATAAAAGGGCTGAGGATGTAGCTCAGTGGTAGCGCATCCTGGGGTTTTATCCCTAGCACTACAAAAAATAAGGCACGAAGGAAGGGAGGAAGAGTGGCAGGGGGAAAGATGCTTTCCCTCGGTCTGAACTGAGTGACCTCAGATCTAACCACGCCTCCCTTTCTTATAAAACGTTGCAGCGTCTGTAAGGTTCTCCGCGCTCCGCTGCAAGCACTGTGTGAGAGCTGACGGCTGTACGCTGTGCTTTAGGCTCTGTTCTCTCCACTCCAGCATCGTGAGCACTAGAGCAGAGCAACTGGGGTGAGAGCTCATCAGAGCCTGGCTCGGCCTCCTTCTGCTGCTGTTCAGGGGCAGCCTCTGAACCGGGCTGGGGAGCAGGGGGCGGACCGCGTCCAGGCCCGGCTCCGCCGCCCGCGGGGACTCACCTCCCGTCAGCATGAGCGCGCATTTGCACATGCAGTTGTCGTGGTCCGCGTCTTTTGTGCTGAAGTCAGCGCCGTGCAGGACCAGGCTGCTCTGCTTTCCCGCAGTCCCTGAGTGGCCTTTCAGATACAACCTGCAGTGGGCAGGGAGACGGGGACAAAGGTCAGCCGCACGCGTGACAGGACCACAGCCTGAAGACCGGCTGCAGGATGTTTAAGTTTTTTTTAGCATTTTCTCTGTTCTTTAAACTCGGCCTTTTAACCAAATCACTGTCTGAAACAAAAGCCAAAAGAAAAGATAAAGAAGGAAATAAAGAGAAAGGAGGGACGGAAGGAGAGAGAGCAGACTCCAAATCAAGCATAGGTGAGACACTGTGGTGTTTCTTTCACCACGTATAAAACTCGTAGTTCTCTGATAACGCAGGATTCAGAAAAAGACCAGGTTGTTCAGTTACCACAGGCACTAATTGCAAAGGAAAATGCCTTCCTTGCACAGCGTCAGTGCTGATGCCCGCTGCCCCAAGCGCTGCCTGTGATGAAAGGACCCCACCCAGGGAAGGTGCCCTGGGCCCTGCTGCTCCTCTAACCCTTGCGGGTTTTTGTGGTAGACACGACACGCTTCAGTACTCACAGGGCTGGTCTAGAGTGCCGACCTGAGCAGGCGTGCTGCACACCTTGTACAGCATGTGCAGCTCTGACTCCAGGCCTGCCCAGGCAGCCCGGCCACTCTGGACCAAATATTCTGCACAAAATCTGGAGCCCGAGAAAATCATACAATTAAATCCCAAACAGGCTTTGTTGGTTTCAGTGACAGACAGAACTTCTCATTAGCAGAATTCCGGGTGACCCTGAACGCTGACCTTCTAATGCCGAGCTTCTATCTTCACCTCTGAGAAGCTGGCTAAAAGTCGCTGGTGATGCGGAGTAGCAGGGTTCGCTTGTTTGCTCTGCTTTACTCTTGCTGAGTTCGGGTTCACGCTGAGGAGGTGGCTGGCCCAACGGGAGGGGTTTCCCTGGGGAAGAGTTAGGAGGCAGGTCACCAGCCAGCGTCCTGGGAAATGTCACCTTCAAGATCACTGCCTTGCAGATCCCGCTTGAGGTTTTAGCTGGATCCCTCCACAGAGGCCCTCAAGTCCGCGGCTCACACGCACCCTTACGCACACCAGTGAGTGTGGTGGTCCCCACTCAGCTACAGCAGGGTTATCGTGGAGCCTGGCCTCTTGGTCTCCACAGGAGCGATTCCACACGCTGAGCCATACACGGAGCCGGGTGTGCCCGCCTCCGCTGCTGCAACACCCAGCCCTCGATGGTCTCTCTTCTTCCACCGTGGGGAAAGAGGCGTGCTGTGCCCGCAGAGGCTCTGAGCTCTCTAACAGGTCGGACTCTAGCTCACAGTGGCTGTCTGCAGTGTCTTCCTCCGCTGACTCACAGATACGAAGTGGGCCTCTGCCGAGTGCTGGATGCACTGCTAATACTCTTTAGGATGAGTGTGAGGGCTGCAGCGTAAGCTTCATAAAATACAGTCATTTCTCTGCATAACCAAGTCAAAAAGAATGCATGACTATAAATTTGAAAAATAAGGAAAAGCAAAAGTCACAGAACTGAGAAGCTGGATCGTATGGCTATGCTACTTTTAATGTTTTGAGGAAGCCTCATACTATTTTCCAAAACGGCTTCACTGATTCACGCTGCAGCGCTGGGATGGATGCTGAGAGACACCACGTTCTCATGCTGGCTTCAGCATCACTCACAGCCAAGACCAGGGAGCAGCCTGAGCACCCAGCACTGCTGAATGCATGAAGGAAATGTGGTGCAGGTTCACAGTGGAACGCTACACAGCTGCAGCTTTTGAAAGAAGGAAATGTTATCACCCCTTACAACATGGACAGAACTGGAAGACAGGCTTAGAGACAGGAGTCAGGCAGAGAAACTGTATAGTCTCTCTTATCTCTAGACTGTAAGGAAGTTAACTTCAGAAATAGGGTAGCGAGACGGCTACGAGGAGCTGGAGAGAGGAGTGAGACGCAGCGCTGCAAGAGAAGGCAGCGCTGGAGGAGGCCCAGAGCGGCTCTGTGTGTTCCCTTGGACAGCACGGTCCCAGCAGAGCTGGGCTCCGGGTTGTGGCCGGCCAGGTGCAGGAGGAGGAGACAGCAGCGAGGGCCTGGACTTGCAGGCCTGAACCCCTGGACGGAGCTTGAACTTTACTCCTCCAGGGTCCAAGGAACAACTTCAGGGTTTCAGCCTGGGCAGAGCAGGTGGTGGAGCCCCAGAGAGCCTCAAGGAGTGTGGGCTTTGGGGTGAGGAGAAGACGGAGCGAGCGTGCAGGAGGGAAACCGGTGGAAGGTTCCTCTGTCACCCAGAGAAGAGCTGTCAGGACTGGACGGCTGACCCCCAAATCCTAATTTGGTGGCTCTGGAAAGGGATCTCTTTACTCATCCAGGCTAGTATTCCGCTCTGATGAGGTCCACAGCAGCAAAGTCGGGGAGACAGAGATTCTACGCTGACCCTTCCTGCATCTCTCCGTGCTGATCTGGAGATGCGAAGGGCCCTCAGTGTGTGACCGCGGCATGTTCCTACTACAGCTCCCCGTGACCTGGAGGAGGACGTGCAGCCGCATGGGGAGCGCTGGAAAGTGGGCGTGTGGAAATCCCGGCTAAGGAGCAGCATGCAGAGTGTGACCCAGCTCCTGTGCACACTTCTGCAAGACCACGAACACACAGGCGTGTGGGGAGGCTCCCATTTGTGTGGCCTGACAGTTTGATGAAAATATAACCAGGCGTGGCATGTATACTGAAAATCACAGCATTTTGCACTTGGGGGAGAGAAACAAGGAAAAGACTGAAAATATAGAATGTTAAGAGTAGTTATATTCAGTGAAGACACTTGGGGTTGAATTCTTTTCCCACTTGATGCTTCCTTACTGTTTCACTATTTTTTATAAAATTGATACATGTGTGTATTTATGGGGTACAAAGTGATGTTCTGATCTATGGGTAATCATAGAAAGACTCAGTCAAGGTGATCAATTCACCCATTAACTCACCAAGATTTTGTGTGGTAAGAGTGTGGGAAATCTATTCGTTCAGCTGTTCTGAGACATACAATTCAATGTTGTCAGCTGTGGTCACCATGAAGCACAAGATCACTACAATCTTGGTGGTACTTAGTGTAAAAGCACAGACACGTGTGCTCCCATGTGTCCACACGCACTGGGCAGGGCGGGCACTGTCAGCCTGGACAGCCCAGAAGCACGCTGTCCTCTGAATTTGAAGGACACAGCAGCATCTTTTGGCAAAAATACAGTTTTTTGGTGGGGAAAACAGTGAAGCTGTCTTTCTGTAGACTTCCGGAAGGAAAAGGTGAGCGTGTGGCATGACAAAAGTATCTCTAAGAGGCTCTCGATCAATTGGCATTGTAGGGGACAAGGTAAGGCAGAGAGTCACAGATTCCAAACTGCCTAAAAGTGTGTGGCAAGGGGATGAACTTCAGAAGCTGTGGTGGCCGTGGGCTTTGGGAGCAAGATGAGAAAGATCTTTCCAATGAAAGGTTGTGAAATTCATGGCACCACTGAACTTTGAGTTTCTCTCACATCAAGAATGGAGAAGAGGAAAAAGGCGGGGAAGAAGGAGGAAGGGACCCAGCAGTCACTTGGCTGTGCTGGAATTGCGTCATGAAAAGCAGAGGATGCACTCACTCAGACACCAGCAATCTAAGATTGTATCTATTCACTTGTTTCTATTCCTATTTGAAGCTGAAATTCTGTTTTTCAGAAAATACTCCTGCTTTAAGTATGGAGGGTCCGAATAATTCAATCCACTGAAAGTTACTATGCCTACAAGCCTGAGGCAAAGGGAGGGAGCTGAACTCAGCATGCGGGACACTCGAATCTCATGTTAGACCCTACTGATACAGAGAGAGTACCCCCACTAGGTGACAGTTCCCACTTGCTCACACTGACATCTGACCCTTTCATGCAGGACGATCTAAGTACACGCCCTGCTTAGAAATCACCTGTGCTGTCCAGGCCCATCCCTTTCTGTCTTCACAAACCAAAGCCAACCACTTGGAGATCATGAAGCACAAGATCACTACAATCTCAGTGGTACTTAGTGTAAAAGCACAGAAATGTGCGCTCCAATGTGTCCACACTCACTGGGCAGGGCGGGAGGACTGGCAGGACCATGGTGGGAGTGTTGGTGGGAGCATGGCAGCCTGACACTGCACAGGACACCTCTCTCCTCCTTCACGCTCTCACTGCACAGAAGATTGTCTCGCTGTGGCACAACTGCTTTTCCTATTACAGTGTTACTGTTTATACACAAGCCTTATCTTCCCCACCAGATTGTAAACTCCTAACAGAATTATTCAGGCCTTAACCATCTTCATAAACCCCACATACTATATACATAACAAGCACTCAATAAACATTTATTGGGTCAGTTATGCACTAGGAGTTGAAATTGTTTAGAATTGGGGTTTTACTCATCTCCAGTGATGGCGTGTATGTGGCAACGTTGTAACTCTAACAGTGCAGTTATCTTTTAGAATTCGAGCCCCTGGGCATTCTTTTCTCCTGATTTGAAATCTGTGCAGAGTTACGGACTATCCGTCCATTCAAATCTCATGGGGTCACTGGTCTGATGGGTATGCGATTAGCTCCTGGCTGCATGCAGACAAAGGCGAAAGGAAAGAACTCACAAATGACCCACTAAAATAAATACTGGCGCCCATTCAAGAAAGGAAACCATCACATTTCATGAAGGAACTCACATCTGTACAAACGTCCTTTCTACCACATAACTTTCGCTGGAACCCAGGCACTTACTTTTTGAATCTGCTTCAAAAGTTTTATGTTGTTTTCTTTAGAGAAGACACAGGAGAGCCCGAGACCTTCTTCTCAATGAGCTGGAGAAGCTGTGGGTGTCACCCCGAAAGGTTCTGCTCGGCTGGGTCACTGCGATGCCCGCTCACAGGGTGGAAATGCGCTCTCTCTCTGGCCCCCAAGTAAAGCAACCCTTTGACTCATTTGCAAGAGCCTGCACATGTGTGTCAGAGAATGACTGGAAAGTCCACGAAGAGAACCTGGGCACTCCGCGCAAGGGGTCCAGGCAGACAGCTGCGTGACAGTGCGGCG